TTTCAGATATGCTCAGCACCCTCCACCTGTGTTCGTCCCTTAATGCGGGAGGCATAAACTGGTCCTTGCACACTCCTGCCTTCTGCATGCACCTATTTTCTCAAACCGGCCCGTCCACACTACTACCCAGCTTTTGGTTCTTAGTGACTTGCCCACAAAGCCAGAGAGGCGAAAGTAATGAGCCAGTGGGGACTGTTCAACACCCCTTCCTCGTACCCTCTGCTCCCTGTATAATTGCTATCCCAGCTGACTGCTATTTCCGCCTAGCCACCTTCTCGCGCTGGTTTCTTGTTTGGCTTATTTTCGACCCTGAAGATGGAGATGATACATTCCTCCAAAACATTGTCTCATATACATACTACATGGCACTATATCCCAGAAGATGGCAAATTTTCATAACTACCACTGTGAGAACCACAAATCTTAAATAACTTATTTTTGTTTGTGTTCAGTTTTTATAATGTTCTTTTACTACATCTTGCATAATTAATCTCAGCAGTAGGTAGTAGTTGTATTGTGGGTTAGAGTCCACAGAATTGATGACGTGAGTCCAAGTTTTGTTTCACTTCTGAAAATGTTTCTTCTGTCTTCTCATCTTCCTCGTATTCACTTCAATGGTCAGTCCTCTTCAGTTTGTGCAATTTCTTCTTTGGTAAGATTTAGGTATCTGAAGTCCTTATCCTTACTAAGCTGGACACGAAAATCATTTCGGTCAGCACAAAATGCTCCATGAGCATCTTCTTTTTCTTCCATATCAGACTCTGGTTCTTTATTGCTAATGAGTTTATTCCATACATTTTTGAGTGTTTCTGTTTTAATTTCAGTCCAGCTGCTGGTCCAGTTGTAAATTGCAATACACTCCACTACTAAAATGCTAAAACAAAAACAAAAAATATGTCCACTAAAACACTAACATTCCCTCTTCACATAAACATAGGAAGTTTTAGGTTATGTCCCTGTGTATCTACTCTCTTAAGAGCCAATTTTATGGATCTAGAATGCTCTGACTTCAAATCTATTTCAAAAGGCTTTGATTTTTGACATGAGACCTGCATGTCTCTATGAAGGTTATTTGGAAAGTAAAGATAAAAAGTCAAGAAAATATTTGTAAAGCTTTTTTTTATTCACTTGTAGCACTTTTACAACACACCTTAATTTACTTTTCAACATATTCACCATGGATCCCAATGCACTTAGTGAGTCTGGGAATGAGTTTTTTCGTTCCAGTATTGTATAAATCTCCCGCCTGCTCTCTTAGTCATGTCATCACCATATCCTGAACTTCATCATTGTCTAAAAAGGTCATTCCAGCCAGACTTTCTTCAATTTAGAGAACAAGTGATAGTCACTTGGTGCAAGGTCTGGGCTATGTGGTGGATGGGCCAGTACCTTCCACTTGAAGGACTGCAACAACTTCTGCATGGCACTAGCAGATTGCGGATGGGCATTATAGTGCAGTAAGCAGACTAAAAATTGACAAGAAGGGATCCCTTCCTGTCCTAGAAGATGGTCGCCATGATTTTTCGGTTTGATGATGCAGTTTTGAATTTTTTTACTGTTAGTGAGTGTGTATGTAGCGCCATTGCATTGATTGTTACTTATTCTCAGGTGTGTGATGAGATACCCAAGTTTCATCTCCCATCACAATACATTCTAGAAAGTCATCACCTTGATCCCCATAACGCACAAAGAATGCCTGCACCGCAGCCACTCAGTTTTTCTTGTGATTGTCAATATTTTCGGCTCCCAATGCAGCCACAGTTTCCAATAGCCTGATCTTTTTGTAACAGTTTCATGGAGAACAGTTCTTGACACTTCTGGATATGGTTGATGAAGTTCATTGATGGTTAAATGTCTGTGAGCCTGAATGTTTTCATAAAATTTTTGGAAGGCCTTCCACTCCTTACTTCATCATGAACATCACTTCTTCCCGCTTCAAATTCATGACACCATTTTGCCAGTTTTGCCTGTTCATAACATCTTTGCCTTAACCTTTATGAGCCGAAAGACCCCGTATGGGGACATTTAAAGTAAAGCCGAGTGGCCAAATGACGCTGATGCGTTTATTTTGTTCATTTATCACAAAAATTGTAGAAATCACAGCATTTTGAGTAACATGATTACAATTTTTATTACTCTACAATGGCGGGCATTTAAATTAACTCCGGCCCGTGGCCATTGCCGGAATTTAAATGGCCCGGCTGATAAAGGTTAAACAGAAAGAAGTTGGTGATGAATTTCAGCTTTCGCATGAAGAAACTGAATTACTGCACAAACCTCACATTTGGCAGGATTTTGAATTGACATGGCCATTTTAAACTCACATTGTGAGCACAATGTTGCCATGACTGTGGTCAGTGAACTGTGCCTTGTCATACTGTTCCTATCTCACACAGCAGTACTGCCATTTCTGGCAAGAAAAAAATTATCTTTCGTTTTTACTGGACTTGTATCTTTACTTTCCAAATATACCTTGTACCATCATCTGTGCTAACACTACAGACAGCGGTTTCCAATAACTGATCATGCCAATGTTATGATCAGGCTAAATCAGGTAAAATGTCTGAATTAGTGAGATTTGACAGTAATGGAAACAATTTCTCCACATAATCCCTTCAGGAGTTGGCATGAAAATGTTATGCAAGGGCAGACATAACACATGCTGGTACAGTAGAGTAGGGTTGCCAGATTTTGTAAAATAAAAAAAGGAGTGATGTCTCGTTGCTTGTTTATAATGCCATTTTTCACAACTAATAGGCTATAAAATATACATAATCAACATACTACATAACTTACAGAATGCTACTACACATCTGTGTTACATAGGCCTACTACACATTTATAGAACAAAACAAATATTATGTAGCCCTATTACATATTTATAGAATGCACAAAATATTACCTAGCACACATCTGTATAACACACAAATATTAAATACTACATATTTATAACTTTCAAGGGCTGGTCGATCAGATTCTGTTAATTGTATTTCACTGAACTCTTAGCACTTTTTAATAATTGAACATCACCCTTTGAAAATATATAAAATTCTGAACAGAACTTGTTTTCATAGTTCACTGTCACCTGGAGTTCTGCCTTGATTAAATCTGTTGAGCGTCTGTTTCTTGTGTCACTCCACTTACTTTTCATGAATGGAAAGATTTGCTCCACAAAAAGCATTTGAGCCAGGGATGCTAAACAAAAATCCTACAACATTGGAAATATTTCGTACATCATGCTCAGGTACTGAAGAAAAAAGTAAGCCAGTTTGCTACATAATCACCATATCTGTTCATATTGTTGCAGAGGTAATCTCGATTGCTGCTGAACTCCTTGTACAGGTCATCAGTGCAAACATTTTCGCTTAGCTGAAACACTTCTATGGCTTTTTCAAAATCTTTGAACTCAGTCCCTTCCTGTAGAGAAAATGCTGCAAGGGATGCATAGGGATTGTCATCTGTCACATCATATCTTTTTTGCAGATACCGATGCATATTGCTATAAAAGCTGTTCAGGTCTTCAGTAACCTTTTTCTGTAATGGCATAGACAATCCATTAATGAGTTCTTTTGCTTTGCTACCAAAAAAAGTTCCTTCTCTGCTGGATTTTAGAACTGAGAAGTTTCATTTGTTTGTAAGTCTCTAGTACACTTAAGTCAGATCTTTCCAGTGTTTTATCTACCATTTCCAGCTGACTTCCAATAAAGTAGATTTCAGGCAACACTGCTTCCTCTGGGTCATCTTTCATGAAAATGTTAGATAATAATTTTGGACAGTTGGGAATACTATTGAAGTAACTTTTCATTGCTTCCCAGTTCTGAAGCAGTCTAGAAATGGCTGGTGTTAATGACAGCCACCCAGTTGGAACATGCCTCAAAATCTCAGTCCACTCCAAATTCAGAAATTCAAAGAATGATTTTAACTCTTCTCTTTTTTGGCAGAGACAGAGAAGTGATTATATATCTTTAACACTACACTTTCAACATCAACATATAATCTTTCAATTGCAAACTTAATTGTGTTATGCGTGACATGATTAGGGCAATTAGCTTTCAGTAAATTTGGGTTTTTACTTCGCAGCAACTGATATATGGAATGTGTTTTTCCATAGTTCACATTGCCATTGTCTGCACAATTCACATTTCCGCTTTAGTGCGTCCACATGAAAGTTTGGAAGCAATTGCAGAAACACTAAAAATATGGGACACAAGTTTATTTCCGCAGTCCAGACTGGAATAACTTAAGTTGTGTTTCACTGCATGATACACTAAACCAAGTTCACACGCAGTGCTGTTGTCATATTCTTCTTTATTGATTAAATTAACAAAGTATTTCGAAAGTTTATTGGAACTTCCAGAATTACATTTTTCCTTAATTTTATGTCCCTTGTATTGTGCATGTTGCCTCAGGTCACTTTGTCCACCATGCGAAATACTAAAATCCTTCCTACACTATGTACAAAATGCCCGGTTCTAATCTGGTCCCGGCTTAACCCACGAAAACATATCTTCCCATTTCTTAAGATATATTTGATTATGTTTGGCCTGGAATTTCAACTTCTTCCGTGGAGGAGTCTTTGATGGATCTTCTTCGCCCTCAAACATTTTTGCTAACTTGACACTGACTTTCTAGCGAAGATTGAATGGATTAAAAATACACTATCACCAACAACCTCTGCTTTGGTTTAGAAACTCAAATGTTGCCAACATTCACGAAATGCAACATAATGAAAGAAACTATAACGATGCCATTTTCCAAGGATTACAGAAATTTTATGATCATATTTAACCCATGAAGTATAATTCACAATGGCCTTAAATAAAAAAACGGAGAATTATCCACTCTGGGTAAACAATAAACAGAGGAACAAACTTTGGGTGAAAAAACGGAAGAATCTGGGGCAAACGGGGTATCTGGGAACCCTACAGTAGAGGCTCAAGATTAATCTGCAGCTGTCATATGTGTGGTTCTGAATGTAACCTGAATTTCTTTTGTTTCAGAAATGCATAGACATCCTAATTGAAAAGGAGTACCTGGAAAGAACTGAGGGCCAAAAGGACACATATAGCTACTTAGCATGATTGCATAGTGACAGGAACAAACAGGCACAAAAGAGGGAAGGGAGGGGGCAGCACTATCCAAACAGAGATTCTACGTAGTATTAAAAAAAAAGTTGTAAAAGTTAACATAAACATAATTCAAAAATGAAGGAAAAAACGCTGATTTTCATTCAAAATTGATACTTTGCATTTGTTGTTTAAAAAATAAAAATTGAAACAACCTGAGAACTGATCATTCCCCTCATATAATTCTTTTTTGTTTTTTAAATATTTTTCACTTGTTACACTTCATGAAATTATTCATGTTATTCAAGTACACCTTCAATAATGCAACAATGATATTTAAATATAAAAGACACCTAAAATATATTTTTTCACTAAAAGTGTAAAAATCATACTAATACATATTATACATTACAGTATGATGGCCGGAAGATGGATACAATAATGGTACTCCAGATATGATGTACATGGGGGCATGAAAGACAAGTGGACAGTGCAGTGGTCTCCCCACATATTAAAAAGTTGCCTGATCATGGCCCATATGCAGCCGAAACATGTTGCAAAATTAGAAAAACATTATGTAAAACAAAAAGACATTTCTGAAGTATTTGCTAGTCACTTTTAGTGTATAAGATATACTTGCAGTGTCTTAATTACATCTTATTATATTTATTAATATAAAGTATTAAAGTTACACGTTTAGTGAAAAAATATATTTTAGGCGTCTTTTATATTTAAATATCATTGTTGCATTATTGACAGTGTACTTGAATAATAAGAACAATACCTCAATGCAACAGGATGCTAGAATATAATATTACTTCTTGAAAGTTGGGTGGCTGGAGAAAGATAATTGCAGATTCCTCAAACCGTTCATGATTTTTTTATGATGCGAACAAAAAGAGCTGAAAAAATTATGTGTTAGTCCACTCTGCTGTTTTGTAAATGCCAGAAATATTCAAGAATTCAAATACCTTTTGTCAGTTGTAATTTATTTCTGTTTCTTGATCATTTATTTTAATATTTTCTTCTCATATCTACTTCCTGGATTGACACAGTGTATAGGTTATAGCTGAATGGAAGAAGTGGACAGTGTGTGAGTACTGACTGCTGTTGTGTTCTGTTTCATCGCCCTTCAGTTATAAATTTTGTTTTTCTTTCTTCTGCAAAATAATATTTTTCTAGCAGTTTTACTTACAAAAAGAAATTGTGACAGAACAGAAAACAGTGTATATCAGCATGGAGGACTTAATGTCTACAGATGTGGATTAAAACTGGCAGAGATGTGGATTCATGTATGGATGTTTTGTGGAGTGATTGTATCAAGCATCTGTTTTTTCTGTTGAATATTTCAAAGCCTTTTATCAACAACTTGTGGTCACATGATTTTCCTCTTCCTCCTAAGTTTGTCAGTGTTTCATTATTCATTTTAAAACACTAAGAAATGTTTATCTTATTCAGTTCTGCAGTTTATCTTGGAACAGGTTTTTTGATGTGGACTATACAATGAAATCCTTGTTTAAGGTTTCCCTGGGAAGCATTTAATTTGAACACGAGGAAACTCTTAAATGTAGGAAATTTAACAGTGAGATGGGTTCACCGAAATTGGACATTTCAGACGGGAGAATCTGAAAGTAAGGAACACTGAATGTGGGTTGCACTGCAGTTGCGACTGAGTCACAGTGTTTGATAACAGTGGATGTTTGCTGTATGAGCATTTTTTATGCTGAAGAGACCTTGGGAGACCTAGATGTACGTTAGGTGTTATTAAAATTGATTGCAAATAAATACTATATTTACCATCATCATTTATGGACCTTTTTCACTCAGAATGTTGTATCTGAAAGTTGTGGTTCATAAAATATGCAAATACTGCTCTTCAGAATATAATTTCATGTATTATATTGAAGAAATTACAATTTGAATGCAGTGTGGCAATACAGTATGAATATTCATGCCTATGAATTCCCCTATGCTATTCCTTGATGAACACTAAGATAAAAATGCTCCTTGATAATATTTTTATCAATATGTACTTTTCATGGAAAGCGTGATTAATGTTCCCTATACCAGGTCACAGTGTATTTCTAAAGTTAAATGCATTATCTGCAAAAATTGTGGCATATTTGCTTAAGGCAGAATTGTGACACCAGCAGAGACAGCAGTTGCTAGGGAACGACTCTGCAAACAACGGCCTTTGCCATGCATTGGTTCAGTAGCGATCGCATGGTCACCCCAACAGACACGAACAAAACAGTGGAATATCTGTGGGAAGTGACGTTTTCTGTGCGGCGTGTAATGAAATGTTACAAGCAGAACAAGTTAGAGAACTGCTGTAGTTCAATCGCTGTGAGTGATTCCTCTTAGAAACTGGTAGCTGAGGGCTGGGGACAGTTCAGGAAACCAGAGGAAGAGCAACAGCCACCATTGGAAGCTGCTGCCAAGCAACAGCAGTACAGACATAACTATAGACACTAGTGTGTGTAATAACGAACTGTAAAGTGTAGTCGTGCACTATATCAAAATGGGCAATAAATCCTGTCATCATACCAAAACCTGTCTATAGTCACACTGTATACATGTGACATCTGGTGTCAGTAGTGGGATTGGGTTGATTGATCGATTTGAATGAATTATGGGATTGAAGACTGCATAGCATCATATCACAGAAATGGAACAAATGATGGCACTCCTGCTGACCAAAATAAGAACCAACCAAGAAATGCTGGCCAGAATGGAAGCCAAGATCAAAGCCAAGGCAGACACCAATATGAGGGAAACAAAGGCTGAAATAAGAACCAATCAAAGGCTGGAAGTCAAGATAGAGGCAAGTAACGAGAAGTTTGAGGTCATTCAAGGTACTTGGTCTCTTAAATGGATGCCCACCATGCTAAGATAGAAAGTAACCTTGTGGAATGGATGGCCACAATGAAAGCCAGTCAAGAAAGGATGGAAACCTGATGAATATCAGACTATAGACAACAGAGGACTGTCTAGAATAGATTGAGGCGAATCAGGGAAAAGTAGAAGTGAAGATGGAATCATGTCTAGAAAAGATGAAAGTGAAGACTACTGCAGCACTGGAGATCGGTATTGGGACCAGTGTCTGGCTATAAGGCACTGCAGACAGCCGAAGAATCAGACCCAGGATGATGGTGGGTCTTGACAGAAGTTGGCCGCTGCCTGAGGATGGTTGAACTGCAGTGCCAATTGTGCACTGCGCAAGGAATGTTTTTTTAGGGGACCTGGCAAGACAACCAACAGCGGCATCAGAGAATGAAGCAAGAGATGGGAGCTACATCTGGGAAGCATGAACACATTGTAAGAGGCCCTGGGACAAACTCTCGAGTTGGAGGTTGTGAAGTGAGCAGTCAAGATTTCCATCAGGTTGTGGAAAGTGAGTGACTGGACATTGTGGAGGGGTTGGACCCCTTCGAAATGAAAGAAGAGAAGTCAAGAGCATAGCCTTTGGAAAAGACGAAAAGGTGGTATGCAAGTAGGCTACTTGGGACAAGCTGCCTCAAGGAGGGAGCAGCAGAAGCAGTTGGGGAATAATCACCATGAGAACTGAGCCACAGGGAAGGAAGGCAAGGCTGATCACAGACATCACAAGCACAGCCCTTGGAAAGGATGAAATGTCAATAAGCATGTATGCTACTTGGGGAAGAGCAGCCTTAAGGAGGGAGAAGTGTGGCATATTTGCTCAAGACAAAATTATGAAGCCACCAAAGACAGCCGTTGTTAGGGAATAGCTCTGCAAACAATGGCTGTTGCTAGACATTGGTTCAATAGCAGTCACATGGCCACTCCAACAGACACAAACACAACAATGGCATAACTGTGGGAAGCAGTGTTTCTACATGGTTCATCCTGATATGTTGTAAGCAGGTGTTGCAGTTAGTCAGAGAATTGTGGCAGTTCAGTCATTGTGAGCTATTGTTGTTAAAAACTGATAGCTGAGTCCAGGACCAGTTTTGGAACCCTGAGGAATGGGAACGTCTTCCATTGGAGGCTGCTGCCAAGCAGCTGCAGTGAAGACATGACTGTGGACACTAGTGTGTCTGTGGACGTGCGCATGTGTAATAGTGAACTGTAAAGTGTAGCAATGTGCTGTGTTAAAGTGTATGATAAATCCAGTCATCAATCCAAAACGGATACATAATCACACTCCATGCACATGACAATATATCAGTCAAAATTTTCTCAGGGGTAAAAATATGGCATTTACTCCCCCCATCCCCACCAAATGGTTAGAAGCAGGAGTGCATGAATTTTGGAGAGATATACATTAGGTGAATATATACAATATGTCATGAGTGTATGGACAAAATTATGTGGCTCAGGATAGGGTGCAAGAACAGGCTCGTGTGGGCACAGTGAAGCATGGTCTGGTTCGTAAAAGGCAGGAAACTTTTGATAAACTGAATGAAGGTCTTCAAAGACTGGTCCATGGAATTACTAGTTAGTCATACTTCTATACTGAATAGCCCTATATACTACACAGCTGCTGGCAAGTTACCACACACAAACATGGACAGCTATCAGTAAGCAGTACAGCCCTTGTGAAGATATGTGGCACTGGCATTCCAAACCACTTTAATGCACAGTAATATTTTGAAAACATCTTTAGAACATTTTTCAGCTCATAACCAAAATGACCATAACGGTAGGAGTTTAGGTTCTCATAGCAATGGCTATGAAGAGTTCTTTCTTCTGAGATATAATGCTTTTGTGTTCAGTGAAAGTCAACCCATGTTTGGAGGGACATTCCACCTCCATCTTCAGGGTTGAAGAATAAGACAAGCAAGAAACCGGTGTGAAGCAGGTAGCAAGCAAACCCTTTGCTGGTTATGCTGTGTAGTCCGTTGAAAGCCAACCAGCGTTTCAGAGGAATATGTCACCTCCCTCTATAGGGGAGAACCAAGCAGGACACAGCATGAAGCAGACAGCAGGCAAAGCAACACATATCTCCAGAATGTTGGCTTACACTGGACTACATGATGTTATATTCCAGAAGGTAGAATTCTTCATGATCACACCTGATGCATGTCTAAGACTGCAGAGTAATAATACACCTTATATTGTGGTGGCACTGTATAAGCAGAAGAGTTTCTCAGAGATTTGTGGGTGGAGAGGACAAGAAAGAGTGGACAACACATCTCCAACATGTCTGGTACATAGCAAGACAAAAGTAAATGTTTCTAGTACAGAAAAATGAATGGCACACAGTTTTTCAAATTATGTAACATGCTAGAAGCTTTGATTTAACATGTGTTAAGACACAAAAACAGATCTTACAAAGAACACTTAGCCTGTTAGATATAAATTGAAACAGTGAGAAATAATGGAGTGGATCTAAGTGACCTGTAGAATAATCAGCAAACCACCACGAACATGTACATTCCACCCACCATGGACAACTTTGGGTAGATGAGCAGGGATGCTGCAGAATCTCTGGGCCTAAAAGTTACAGGTCATTTTTGAGTGGCCAGATCAGGATACAGGAGAAAAAACTGTTTTCATACAACATAACAGCTCCGAATTTTTACATTATCAACAAGTCCTGTGAATGAAGTAAGCTTTAACTGTGGTTCTGGAAGCAGCGTGTTAGGGTTCTTGTTCCGTAAGGCAGTACATGGTTTGTTATGAGAGGCTAAACTTGTGACTCATTCACAGCCTTGGCCTGTAAAAGGAAAAGAGAGGTGCTGAAGAAGATAAGTAAAGTCACTACTAAC